AAATATTTAAATTCATTTACCATCTTAAACTGTAATACACCTAATGATGGGTTAATTTTTTCATTTGTATTTAATAAAAGAATTGAAGATTTGGTTCTGTTTATCTTGTATCCAGATATATCACTAAATGATTTAATTATTTCCAAAATAATTTGTATTGACTGATTTAATTTTGATATGAAAAGGATCACATCGTCCGCGAACAAGGAAATCCTATGTTCTGTAGGTCCGACATTGATTCCACTAAGATGTGGGTGTGAGCGAATAGCAATGGCAAATGGTTCTATTGCCAGAGTGAATAGTAAAGGTGACAATGGGCAACCCTGTCTGCAGCCCCTGTTGATCTTTATTGATCTAGATATATTCTTGTTAGTTATTATTTCAGCTGAGGGATTGTTGTATAATATTTTCACCCATTTTACAAAATTATTACGACAGTCAAATTTTTCCATAACTTGAAAAAGATATTCCCAGTGAACCCTATCAAATGCCTTTTCGGCATCTAGTGATAAAAGAGCTGAGTCTGAGGTACCTCTATTATAATGAATTATGTTTAGAACTCGCCTCACGTTATGAAAACCCTGCCTCCCCGAAATGAATCCATTTTGATCTCGATCAATTGATTTTGGGAGCACCTTTTGTAGACGTCGTGCTAGCAGCTTGGAGATTATTTTTAGATCTGAATTTAGTAAACTAATGGGCCTAAAATTCTCACATTTGTTTGGAGGAGGTTGTTTTTACTTAGACATTTCCTCCCTATTGTCATGATTGGTTTCCAGCCCAGGAGACCCACGGCGCACTCTGCTGGAGGAAGGTGGTACATCCCCAGATCCCAACACTTATCCTGTTTTATAAGGAAGAAAATCAACTCAGCCAAAACCAAACTGATAGATAACAATTATGCAGAAAACAGTATGCATTTCAAAACCATGTTTCAAGGAGTTTTATCAGTTCTTTTAACACGTTAATATGAAATGAAATAAAATTAGTTGTGCAGTTTCCAGAGCAGCCTAGTGTCAATCTATCAAATAGTAAAAATAACTTTAGATAAGTATAAATATTAAATAAACAAGATAACACATTTACATTTAAAGCTACAGTGTGTAATTTTCAGCGACATCTAACGTTCAGACTGCAGACCGCAGCAACATGAACATCTCCCCCCCCACCGTTTCTCCCCCCCAACAGTACGGCGAGCGTTACG